GTTAACCCAAATCAGATTATCATAGGCACCATGTTATGAAAAACCCATCAGGCTTAATTTCTCAAGTCAAATTGATTTCGAATAAAAGTATAAGATGAACCAAATAGGTATACACATTTTTTACCCTTTTTTCCAACCAATTCAAGGAGACTTATCATGAGCAAGGTCATCTTGATATAGGTCAATTCACGTTCAAGGTTATCCCACCAACATGTGACAGCCATCTCAAATCCCACACACGCGGTCCAAACTCACTCACAAGATTATAGTGTGTGTTGTGCTGATGGTACATAGAGAAACATATACTCAATACTCCATAGAAAATTGAACCAAGTAATGGAAATAATAGTATAGATCTGACAATGACATACTTGATCACACACGCAATATCAGAAACTGTCTAGAGCTAAAAAACATTTTTTAATAAAATCATAATAAACAAAAAAAATCAATATAAAAAAGAAACAAATACACACGAAATAAAACAAAACGTAAATAAATGAGATGTATGCACAAATGAATGGACTCAAAGGACTGCATATGCATGCACCAAAAGAACAAATCACAACGAACCATGAATGCTCTTACCTTTAAGAGCATGATCAAACTCATGACCTTTCAGATCGCTTTTCTTAACCCAATCTTGTTTGGAAGTAGAAGTGATTTTAGTTAATCGAGTCATCATCTCAGTTAAGTGACTAACTTGATTGGCGATGAAGTTAATCATGCTCGAGACATTTCGACTTTTACTTCTAGTTACGAGTTTACGACACTTAGGTCAGTGTGTCCCAATGTACCACAATGGTGACAGGTGGGAGTAAACCTAGAATCAACCTTGTTCGGTGGTTGCTGCCGATAAGAAGGACGATTTACCCTATGTTGTCTAGTAGATCTCGACCCTAAGTTATTTTTGCCCTTTGGTTCGGGGTAATCAATTTTTCGAGCTTTGTTAGTGGTTGGAACGAACATGGTCTTAGACATAATGGCAGAAGTATTACCATTATGAACATAACCCATACCATACCTATTTCTAGCATGCTTGTTTATCCCAAGCAGATTGTCCAGCTTCTTCGAGCCATTCATAAACAATTGGAGTTGAGCATTTGATTTATCTCGATCAGTGGTTAATGATTTAACTTTAATTTCCAAGTTTACATTTACCAGCTTCAACTCAGTCAATTTTCTAGTCGAGTCCTGAAGGTCACTTAGTAATATTTCACGTTTAAGTTCAAGTTCGTTCACCTTTA